CATCTGGATTAAAGTCTGAAACTGAAGGTTTTATTCTTGCAGCGCAAGACCAGAGTCTTTTTCACTAGGAATTTTCAGGCAAATATCATACATAATAATGTGGATCCAAAATGCAGGTTCTGTGACAAATACCAAGAAACAATAGACCATCTAATCTCAGGATATTCTATACTTGCCCCAAATGAATATAAAAATCGTCACGATAGAGTGGGGCAATACTTACACTGGACAATGTGCAAACACTTTGGAAAATGTGTAAGCAAACACTGGTATGAACATCGGCCAGCGCCGGTTACAGAAATAGAAGATGTCACCATTCTATGGGATTATACCATCCACACAGACAGAAAAATTGAAGCAAATAGGCCGGACATTATTGTCAAAACCAGAAAGAAAAAACTGCCTACTAATTGATATGGCTTGTCCAGCGGATTGTAACATAGCAACCAAGGAATTTGAAAAAACTATCAAAATACAAAGACCTGGAAATTGAAATAGAAAAATGTGGAAATTGAAAACAAGAATAATACCAGTGGTAATAGGTGCACTTGGAATTATAAAAAATGGAACAAAACAACACATTGAAAGAATCCCTGAAACCCCAGCTTAAGAGACATACAGAAAATTGTCTTATTAAGTACAGCACACACACTAAGGAGAACTTTGTCTATGTAACGCTAGCAACTTCATCGGAGATAAAAAAAAAATTAAAAAAAAATTAACATGAAATGTGGCCATAATAACACACCACGACCTGCCTTAGGTCTTTCCGCAGACTTGGTAGGTAGTGTGTCCATAGCAGAAATCGAATGATGATGATGATGACAATAATAATAATAATAATAATAAAAATAATAATAATAATAATAATAATAATAATAATAATGAAACAAGTGTATATTATATGGAAATAAAGATAAGACAGTTGAACACATAATCAGTGAAAGCAAGAAGATGCCCCACTCCAAAAAATACAACGATAGGCATGACTGGGTGTGGAAAAATGTCGGCACCTTGCCAGAAAGCTGAAAATAAAATGTTGAAAATAACGATGGATTGTGTGTATCGTTGGTAACGCCCTTGGAAGAATTCCGAAGGGCTCTGCATAGACGTTTAAATAAAGCGATATCCGAGGAATGATAAAAAAACACCCAATAATTACAATACAACATTACTAAAATCAGCTAAAATATTGAGGAGGGTGCTGGAGTAATAACAAAATTTGCAGTCACTTGGTTTTCGTTTAGATTTAACAGAGACAACTAGGATGAAAATTCACACACGCACACAAAAAGTGAATAAATGAAACGACTATAAAATATTAACATTTAATACAACTGAGCAAAAATACAAACACAAAATAATATATATATATATATATATATATATATATATATGATATCTGAAAATTAACATAGCATTATTATATACTAATATTTTCTAGTAACAATTTTTTCGGTGTATAAGACGTAAATTTTGACAAGGGCAAGTGAAGGAATATAATATAACACACGTCCAATGCTGGACGGTCGACAACTTAGGTTGTACAGCGACGGGATCGAGTTGAATTTTTCAATGAATGTACCTATTACGCTTATATATATATATGTGTGTCTTATATGACAGCGAGTAAATATAATAACTGAGTGTATGTAACGTATTTTACTGAATACACTAGGTATTTATTTTGTGGAAGACCTGTCCCCCAACGTTTTTCTAAACGGAGATGTTTGGTGTCCAGCTTGGTGTCTAGCTTGGTGTCCATTATGGTGTATATCAACCAATGAGCAAGCAAACTTATTGAGTGTACTATAGCTAAACTTTTAGGTTTTCCTCGTCCGTTGCAAACTTTTAGGTGGTTATCGAGGCAGGCCTATATAGACGGAAGGCTGGCAGCCAGCGGAGGCTGAGACATTTACGGTGATGTCTCTTACTTTCTACTTTTTTCTACTTATTGCCTGATAAATTTCACGCCTACATGCCATCTTGTGAACTGCTCCTGTTTGCCAGTAATGCTTGTGGAATTCACAGAAGATATTAAGGTCCTTATAGGGCGCGTACTATAAACCGCTGTGTCTTATATGGAACAAAATAAATGTATGAGTATATATATATATATATATATATATATATATATAATAAGACAGTATAAAAATAATAATGCAATAATACAATTCATCAAAAATACAAAATGAAAACAAATACAAAAATGTACTTTATACGTTTTAGGTGTTTTGCAGAAACATTACACAAGACGGATATTTGGTCATTTTTGAAAAAAATATCTTTTTCCATAGTAAAAATAAAAAAATCAGGAGACATTACTGAAATTACATCAAAATGATACAAACCTAATTCATATAGACACAGAGTAAATGAAAGATATATATATATATATATATATATATATATATATATATATATATATATATATATATATAATATCAATTGATGATTAGTAGAGATAATTCCAAAGAGGATATAAATCCAAAGCGATCTCAATGTAGAAAATATGATGAAGTTGATTTTTTCACCCGGCATATATACTAACAAAAAAATGCAGTAAAATCTAATGATATCGTAAGGTATGGCTGGAGTGCTCTGGATTAGTGATGCTTCAACCCCGAAACAATGAAAGATCCCATAATTATCTTTTGATGAAACGTTTGTTGGCGACTCAGCTGTTGTTTTTTGACAGCAGTAAGTTCAACGAATGATATATATATATATATATATATATATATATATATATATATATATATATATATATAGTAATAATCTTATAAATCTAAGAAATTATACTCGTCCGGAAAACCTTGGTTTGCTAGATTAGGTTTGGTCTTTTGTTTTTTTTTCTTTAATTTTAATTTTGAATAAATATTTACTCTCCCCGTTGTTGCGTTATTTCTTTCTTTCTTCCTTTATTTTTTTTAGGTTGGTCACGTGGTCATGATTTTATGTTTGTAGGCTTTATATTCCGTTCTTACGTTACCTCTTTAGCCAGTATTTCCTGACGATCCGCGTAGGTAAAACCATGGTAGGTTTATCTGGCTCTTTAGGTTTATATATATATATATATATATATATATATATATATATATTTTTTAATATTTTACATCGCTACACAAAAAAGTCCATGTTTCAGAACATCTAACAAGTTATCTAACATCGCCTGAAGAGGGTCATTTTAAAGTTCCGAAACATTGAATTTTTTGTATAGAGGTGTAAGATATTATAATAAAAATATTATAATAATATTTTGCTCTACTTTGTATTGAGCACTTTCTAAAAAAAAGTAAATGCTAAGAACTGTGGATTCTTAACCTGTCTGTTCTTTTTCTTTATTTTTATATATATATATATATATATATATATATATATATATATATATATATATATATATATATGTCTGTGTATGTGTATGTAATGTGAAAAATAAGGAAAACAATATGTTTTTTATAAATTTTTAAAGATGTTTTTAAAGTTTTCTTTATAGAAGGACTAAGGGGAGCAAAAACTGTCTGGAATAGACATCGTCTCAAGCTCTTTCAGCCAATCCATGAGCCATAAGCACTTCAAAAAGGAAGACTCTAAGAACATTAGGAAAACTGGAAAGATTTTCCTTGTCTGTCACTTTCAATGAAACGTTCAAAAGAAAGTTTTCAGCCCAAATACATAATATATATATATATATATATATATATATATATATATATATATATATATATATATATATATATATATGTTTAAACATTATTCTTAGTGGATACACGTCTTTGAGTTCCTATCCATATTTTGTTTTTATTATCCTAAACTGAGAATTTATCAATAACGGGCTTAGAAAGAAAGACTGTGTCTCAGACAGGAAACGAACCCCCTTTTCCTTCAGGAAAACCGCTTTCTATAGCCGAAAAGCGCCTTTACCAATTCCACCACGAAGGCTGCGTTGAGAGGGCAACGTTCGATTTGCCTATTTAAGAAATATGTTTTTCTCCTAGGGACATCTTCAGATCTCGAGCTGCTAGATTTAGTTTCGCACCAGAAACATCAACAATTGTCATTTCGTGAATTGACTTTTTTATCCGACATTATTTTTTTATTTTTATTATTATGAACATTCATTTTATTGGGTACACGTGTTTGAGTTGCTAAGAAAAATTTAAGAAAAATTCTCAAACAGTGAAATTAATATCAACCGGCCTACATTGAGAAAGTCTTACTGAAGAAAGATAGTTTTGCTGTCACTGCTTCTCCAGCAATTTACAGTAAACATCGTTTCTGATATTGTATTGCAGATTTCTTTATCAAATTGGACGAGTTCCTTGGAAGGCAATCGTTTCTTTTATTCGACAGCAAAACGTTGTGAGTTTTATTGTATATACTGGAAAATGTCATTTATTTTTTATCATTGTGGTCAGGCACTGATTAAGCAAATTGAAAGAACGAAAAAGTTCCGCTTCTTTTTGTTATTAACAAGAATGAAAGTTTTTTTAATGTTTTTTTCTAATACCTCAGATCGAATAACATAAATAATAAGGAGAATTGCGTAATATCATTGAATTATATTATCAAATTTGTATTAAGAAAATATTGACTCAACTCAATGGAAACAAAAAACTTCTGCTGTTAAAATAAAAAAAGATGATAACGTGTCTAGATGAAAATACGGGAAGTAAATAGCTACAATTGTATACAGTTGAAAGAAAAGAGGGAAAAGAAAAAGAAAGAGAAAAATCTAAGGAGTGAATGTAAAGTGAAAAAAAAGAAGAAAAGGACAAATAATCACGGCACCCTTCACGTACGCACAACCGCGCAGACAGACACAAACAATACGGAAAAAACTTCCACCAATGATAAGTGTATAAAAAAGAAAAATCGAGAGATATGAGCATCCAATTGCTGATACCCACTGAAGAGTGGGCACACAGGTCCGCCTACGAAACTCTGGAGTCGGGATGCTGAAGGTAACATCAGTCAGCTAAGTGAAGAACTTTTGTTAGTTTCTATCTATCTATCTATCTATCTATCTATCTACGTACCCAAGAGACCCTGCATTGTCACGCATTCTTTTGTATTTTTGTGTATAGGTGTGTATGTGAATGTGTGTGGGTGTTTGTGTGTGTGTGTGTGTGTGTGTGTGTGTGTGTGTGTGTGTGTGTGTGTGCATATACGATATGAACAATTCATTACTTAATTAGGTTATCGTTGATTTTTAGATACAGTGCTCTGAACAGAATTATGTAAAATGGGACTGTTTTTAAGCGTCTGACGATAGGTTTTGTGACCATGAACTTTTTGCCACGTGGGAAAAGCACAGTCGTTTACAAAATAACTTGCTGGAGTTGTGAGTAAAGATATGCTTATATATATATATATATATATATATATATATATACATATATCCTTGCTTTTTCAGATTCTGAGAGAAGACGCGTAACGTCAGGATCAAATTACGACGCAATATCAATATGTTAAGAATAGAATAATGGTGTTTATATTTTTCAGGGAAAAATGTTGTTGGTTGGATTCAACCTGTGCACAATGTTCTATTGGTATGACGACACGTGAGAAATGAACTTACATATAATGGTTTGCAAGACGATCTGTTCAGATTGCCACAAAATAATTAGTATTTCAATATGTAGTCTAGAAGAAATAGAAAGTTTTTGTTTTCATCTGAAAATATTCAATCAATTATAGGGGACAGGCAGACACCGTTTTTAATTTGTTTCCTGTGAACAAGAAAAGTAAAAGAGGCTGTAATAGTTGTTTTGTTTTACATTAAATTTCTTGCGCATCATTTCACAAGCGCAATCTTCCATTGCCATTTTTTTTCTGATACTGATTTAATGAATGTCTTTCTGAAAGTGATTTAAGTGGCGTATATATATGTAACTTTCACCTCTGTAATTGCTATGTTGTATGTACCACTTCATATCTCTTGGTATTTTAAAACAATTTTGATTTAATATTGGCTTTTCTGGGAGTCAAAGACACACTGGCTTTCAACACGTAGGCTAATCATTTTGTTATAATTAGCATTGGAGATGGAGGGAAGTAATATAAAATTTATTTTTAAAAAAAAATATTGCGTTCGATACACAGGAAATATGGTAAATTAGAGTAGACAATATTGCTCAAGCAGAGAAAACGTTGATTACTAAATAACGCAATATAATTAGTTTTCTCAATTATTGACATTCAAACTGTCCATGCCAATGTTCTCAATCGGCCATATTGTTTTTATCAGCATACATAATATCCATACTGATGCCTCACTCAATGATCTTGTAATGCCCCGATTCTTTAATTGAAAAAGGGAGATAATTATAACTTCAACTTACGTTGAAGTTATAATTATCTCCCTTCTTCAATTAAAGAAATCCACCCATCGTATAAAATGTAATCATTGATGAAATATTTTAAAATTAACTACAAATAATCCTACAAATAATAATAGTGTCTGCTGAGAGGGATTTTCAGAGTAAATTCTACCGTGACAAAATAATAACGCCGCCTTTTTTTTTTGCTATGAGGCAAAAAACGCCATTTTTACATTAGAATCGGAAAAATGGTTAAAAAGACTTTGACTCAATATTTTCGTGCTCCACACTTATGTTGCTGACTTCCTGATTGGTAAATCGGGAAAAGTCAGCAGCATGATAAACTGCAGTGTTAATCAAAAATACTCCTCGTTACATTTGACCAAGTCAATCATGAATCGAAAAGAGACATCATCCAAACGGGTCACATCCGGTCCTATCAACATGGATCGGACCGACACGTTAGTGTCATGGCCCATTCCTACTCATGACCGGCAAAGATGGCGAGATCTGCGGAAGATCTACATCCAACAAAGGACATTCACAGGTCTGAGAAGATTACGATATTGATAGATATTGAGATATAAGCTGCACATAATAAGGTTAATAATAATAATAATAATAATAATAATAATTCTCTTTCTTCTGCTTCTTCTTCTTTCTGTCTTGTCCCTATCATGGCTCTACACAATCTTCTTTTCTTAGTAGCACTTAGTATAGTTTACCCCTAATACCTATTTTGCTAAATGCATTGTTTCCCTCTGTCCGTTTTACCTTCAATATGAACTGCGTGTCAAATTTTTATGCTTTTTTTCCTCATTGTATACCCTAATTCAGGTTAAAAATTAATAGTGGATTGATGAAATAATCAATATGAAAAAATTCACCCCCAAGAGTTGGTCAGAAAACCTGAAAAGTTAGAAATATTTTGAACATTTTAACAAGATATTCTATGACCATTTAAGCGAATACAAGCAGATGACCAACTTGCCGGCATACCTGACTACAGAAAAATGTTATATTATTTTCATTGATATACGTCGCAACAGGCTTGACAGAATTTAATCTAATTCAAAAAAGACTTTATGATAAGTGAACGATACGTAGCCTTCATAGAGGGCAATATTTCTTGATCAAGGGAATGGATAAGGAATCAAGAGTTTTGGTAGTAATAATGCTATATACACAATTATTCAACTCTGTGAATCAAATTATGATGAATACCCCCCCCCCAAAAAAAAAATCTTTTATTGTTCTAAGTAACTTTTGATGATTTTACTATTATTTTTGTACGATTCCCAAATTTATTTTGTCAACGTCTTATCTTTTCTAAGTTTATGCAAAAACATTTTCAATGCATAAAATTTACAAAAGAAGAAAGACAAAAATTGTTACGTTTATACCCATGAAAAATATCGATCGATTTCTATCAACCAAACACATTGTGATTCGATGATCACGATATAGATTCTATGGGTGCCTCGAGGTGGTGTAATGGTTAGCAAGCTAGTCTATCTATTATGGCTGAGTAGTGAGTTCGATCCTGACTGGGCTCTCCAAATTTTCAGCTTGCAAAAGCACCATTACGGAGATTTTTTTTTACATTGAAGCCTACATCAACGCATTTTAATACAAAGGAAATTTAATTTCAGAAAAACTAAATTGGAAGCGCTAATGATTTACTACTTCCAAGTTTCAGCGAGAAATGATTTAATGAAGTCTTTAATTGACCACTAGTGCAACTTTGGTTATTTAGATGTCAATACGCAGACATTCAGTTATTCTGCTTTCATATATTTCGCCATATTTGGGAACAATATAAAATAATCCTGACTTTCGAATAATTAAATTTGAAATATAACTTTTACGTCGCATATGTGATCTAATTTTATTTAATAATTACTGTTTATTTCGAACCAAATGCTCTTAGTTGAACAATTAATATATACAGGGTCTCCATCTTATAACTTTAAAGTGCACACGAACTGTATGTACACCCTATATATATATATATATATATATATATATATATATATATATATATTAATGTTTCGTTGTACAATTATTAGAAACAAATTGTGTTTTCTGAAAGTTAAATTGGTTAAATGGAGTTTTCTCTGATAGTACTGGATATTATAATATTTATTTTATGATAAAAATATACCTTGATGATGACATGGATATGTCGAAACTATTTAGTAATAAAACGAGTTCTTACGAGTACATCCCACACCTTATGAAGGGCTTCATCTATGTAAGATATGTGTTTCTTTTTTAAATTGCTCAGTGGAAAATGTCATGATGCCATTTCTAACCTCAGGTCTCTGTACGGGACCCGAAAACAAATGAGTACACACCAGAAATTAAAGGAAATAATAATAATAGTGAGCATTGTGTTGGAAATTTGAGGAGTGTTGTTGTCATTCATTATCCATCGATAAACACCAAACACCTAAATTAAACATAAAAATGTATGCTGCTAGAAAATAGTTGCGAAAGTAAGACAATGTAGAAAATTCAGACAAAAGATTGAAAGAAAGAAAGAAAAATAGTAGACTTGACTGAGTAGAATCGATGATACCTTGGGAATTGTGCAAATGAGTGAGTATGCAAATTAATTAATACAAATCTATGATGGTACAAAATAGTTGCAAAAGTAAGATAATGTAGAAAATTCAGACAAAAGATTGAAAGAAAAAATAACGAAAAAAATAAAGAGTAGACTTGACTGAGTAGAACCGATGATAGTTTGGGAACTATGCAAAAGAGTGAGTATGCATATTAATTGCATATGCACAAAGCAGGAGATGTAAAAAAGTTGTAAAATTTGATGAGAGTCTCAAACGCAAGTCGATCACTGAATCCAGGTCAGGAGACAAAGACTTGAAGATCTGTTTGATGAGAACGTCCCTGCAAACAATAGAGTAAATTTGGAAATAAGCGAAATAATTGAAAAGATATCATCAGGATTCTGTGAGAGAAATGAAGAGGTTGTGAAGCATGAAAGTGACAGTTGTTCCCATCATTTGTGGAGCACCGAAAAAGAATTTGGATAAGTTGGAAATTCGTGGAATAATTGAAAACATTTCTTGGCCAACTAAAAACCAACAATAATAGAGCGATATAACCTTTTCATACGTAGTAGATTGATTCCCACAGAGGGGGATACATGGATAATAGCAAACTATCTAGATATGTCTAAAAACTTTCACCCCAAAATCGAAACTCAAAAATATAAAAAGCATTGAATTAGATGGAAAACTAATTCTAAAAATAAAATTAATTTAAATGGATTTTTCTTTATTTGAGTTTTTTCCTGTTAGGATCAGATGACACCAGGTTTGAATGTTTTGAAGACATTTAAATTGATTTATTTTTGTGTATTTTCAAATGCACAAAAATCTCTTATTTTTATTTTCTGTTTCTATGAAATTTATGTTGCAAAATAGTTTCAGTTTTATAAATATTTTGAAGATGACATTTGTTTGAGTTCAGTAAATTCTAATGTCTTGAAATAATACTAATAATGATAATAATCATGGGAATAATAATAATAATAATAATAATAATAATAATAATAATAATAATAATAATAATAATAATTGCACCAGGTAGTATCCTGTCTGGTACTAAAAACATCTACAAAATAACAGGACCAATAATGCAATCAGAAATTATAATAATTACATCGTTTTTTTTTTCGATCTGTTTGCGTCGTACGTCATCTGTTTGCATCTTCTTATATATATATATATATATATATA